GTCTAGCAGGTCAACGTGTCCATATGTAAGAGAGATAGAGAGGCAATAGTTTGTCTGTTGGAAAGGCAGTTGTAAGATCAGAAAAAGAAAGAAGTAAAAAAAAAAAACAATGGCTCCTAAAATACTTATCAGCAATAATAGTTATTTCCGCTACAAACATGAGGGAATGGAATCTTTTCTCGCTTCTTCCCTCCTTTCAACATATGCTAAAGCTTTTCTTTTGATTTTAAACACAACAAACAGGGAGCTAGAATCTTTTCTCCCCATGAAATTCACCTATGACCAGAGATTAGAGGTCTTCACAGATGACCACAATCGGAATCTTTCAAATTGAATGCTTTTCTTGCTCTAGGTTGGCCAATGATGACCACTGAAAACATAATTAGAATCTCTCAAACAAGCACCAATTCATGGATCACAACCTCAAACACCCTCTGAATCACTTATTTTGTATTGGATCACCAAAAGAAAAAAGAATTACTAATAGATTGATTGTGAGCAAAAGTCTTAGAAATATATCTCTATCCATGCCCATAATATAAGTTTTTATAAAAGTTCCAATAATTGATAGATATAATAGTTAAATATTTTACCATAATTGATTTTTTTCTGTAATAAATGGTTAAAGCCTTCACAACATTAGCATTTATCTTCTTTAAAACGTGTTTTCATATTATATTGTAGTTTCTTTGACAACACTTGTCCTAATATCACAAAAACAATGCTCAAAAGAAAAAGAAATATCTACTTGAACTGAAAAAGAAAATCCTTCTTTTCTTTCTTTGTCTTTTGGGGATTGGAATAATTCTGGTAGAAATTTATTTTCCTCTAGCTTTTATTTTTTAACAAATTCATTATACTTTTTACAATTAGTTTCTTCTCAAAAAATAATCAGTTTATTGGAAAGAAGTAATTGTCCAAGCCAAAAGCCAAAAGAGAAAAATAACTATCCCAAGTGGAACTTTATGTTGTTCTCAAGAAAAGAAAAGTATATCATATTTAGCATCTTGATAAATCATAATTAGCAGAGAACCTGCCATACCGTGCAGGATTCCTCTTTGAAGCATTTGCTCGGTCATCACTTTTAAACCCCTTGCTTGATTTTCCATAGCTATCCTTGTCAATCTTTTCTTCTCTGTCGTGGTCTTTTTCTCTATAACTATCTTTGAACCTGTCACCACTTATGACTCCATACCGCTCACCACCTTGAAAACTCCCACCACTATATGAGGCTGAACCTGACTTGTATGTTACTCCAGTAGATGACAGACCAACGTACCTAAAATTAGTAGCAGAAACACACTTTGTAACAGCAACAAAATTAACCAGAATATCAGTTTTCTGAAGCAAAAACTAACTTGTCACGATTTGCAGTTGCTTTGTTCCTAACTTCTTGAATTTTTTCTTTATCGTTCAAAAGGGTCACAATGGTTTCTGCCTTCTTCCGGACATTTATGCCCATATCTTTTCCGCTTGGCTCAACGTATTCAAAGCTCGTGAGAGACTTCAAGAGCATAATGCAAACACACAAATAGTATGTTAGAGAAATTCACCCTCATTCTAAGAGCTGCAAAGAATTGGACAAGAAAAATTTGCAGAATGCAGGAAAGTACTTACTGAGATCTGGAAAGTATGTTCTATTATGTCATCAACTGCACGTTCAGAGCCATGTGATACCAAATATTCTATAACAGCTAATGCCTGATGAAATTAAATGTCAGATACTGAAGTCCCAGTAGAGCCTATAAGCAATGATGTCTCAGGCAATAAACATATGAAAGTTTGCAATTTTGCCATATAATGTCCAGGATGGATGAATAATCCAAAACTTGAAAATGTTACCTTGTAAACATAACGCCAGTCCTTCCCAGTTTCACCCAATCTTGTCCACAGAACACTCATAACCATCTGGCATTCAGTGCTAGAAAAATATAGCGACCAATCACATCACATGCAAAAAGGCAACACATCTTTTTTCCAGAATACTTAACCCTAGAGAATAATTAGCCAGACAAAATAGAAAGCAGGGAAATCCATGGGATAGAAGTTACAATTTTTTGGTGGCATGTGGTATATATGCCAGCGCAGAGCCATGAGGACCCCAAGGTTCATTATCTGTTGCGTCCAATACAAGAATTTTCAATGGAAAGAAGGTTAATATCACAAGTTTCAGACATAATAGTAATAATCAGATTACAATTTAGTCATTAGAAAAATAAAAGTCAGACAATCAGGAGAAGTTTGTTAAATTAGAGG